GGGGGGGAGTGGACTATAATTGATCCAGAACTTGGAAAATGTAGGGTGGAGAATCTTGGGACTTGTAGTCCAAGAAAGTAACTCTCCCAAACTGCAGAAGATATCACGTGTAAGACAAATTACCATAACCAAAGCATGGCCACATAGCACTGATAAATAAGTTAACATCACTTTGCAACACTGGTAGGCAACTGATCAGCTAATGTTGTCATCATGTGCCTTCAGATCACTGCAGATCATTCATCCAATCTGTGGATATTTTTCTTGTGTTCTTGGTATGTGGCCAATGGCAGTCTTGGGAAATGGATTGTGAATATTCAAAGAGTTTGAGATATCATTGCTGGATAGGTCAGTGGAAATAACCACTCTCCCTACGTCCACACTGTTAAAAAATTTCAGCTAGACAGAAGACAAGGAAGAAAAGTGGGATTGGGTGGGTATAAAACATCTTTGTAAAAAGCAGCATCTTTGTCAGAGGCTTTGTTAACTACTAAGGGTATACTTGTACACATATTTGTGCCGTCAAATGATCAGTCATTTAAAGTTGGTGACATGAGGTTCTTAGAAGAAGGAGACATTATGGACAAAACGTGGATGAATTTTAGTGCCTTTAAACTGCATCCCAAATTGGAAGCCTAAGGCAAAGCCTTCAGTGTATCTCATGATTGGGATGGCCTTTGTAGTAACTAAAAGAATCCTTTCAGCTCCTGCCAATAATCTCTTTCCAGTTATTTTCAAGAGGGAGAGAGGAAATTTTGCTGCCAACACATGAGCAGACAGACCAACTCATGCACCGAAGTTTTTCTTTCCCTCCCAGCAAAGGTTCCCCAATATAAACAATTATGATTGTGGAGTAAAAGGAAAAGGTTAACGTTAAAGAAGCTGGTTCCTCATCCTTGTTGTCTACTATACATTTGCTTAGAGAGCCATCGTGGCATAGTGTTGGAATGATGATGTGATTGGCAAAGAAGCTCATCAACTCCAACTCTCTGAATTTGGGAGGGACCATCCTAATTAATCCTCTATTGTATCACTTTTTTTCAGCTGTTTTTAAAATGTCCCAGTTTCTTTCTCCACATCACGATCTCTTCTTTTCCTCTTTTGTGCTCAGCTTACTTCACTTGCTGCAACCTGAGTTCCAAGTGCAAAAAGGAGTTTGCACCGAATTCACTCAGCAGGGGGTAAAGGAGCAATCTTGTCCTTCCCTGAAGGCTCAGGCAAACGCAAACAGCGGCACCATTTCCTAGCTTGTCTGTTTTTCCTCATTAATAATTTTTTGCCATCTTGATCACACTCTGATGCTGCTTGGCCACATGTCTCCCAGCTTTCATGTGAAAGGCTAGATGATATTGATGCTGAGGAAAGAAGACTTAGGATTAAGTGTCAGCCGTGCAATGAGCGTTTGCCTCCACCATCTCCGAAACCTCCCCACCTTGCATGCATTCCACATCTGTTCTTGTTTTGCACCCTGTCTTCTCCCCCAAGGAAGCAGATTCATTTGCTCATAAACGTGGGGGCCCTTTTACACTGGGAAGGCCTGGCGTGTGTTGTGCCTACTTGGCTCTCAGCGGCAATGATTCCTCCTGCATGTGGGGAGGTTGGAGCCAAAGTACAGCCAGAGCTAGACCACAAAGCCACATTACTCATATACACCCACTCAGGTCCCCCAGCTGCTAATCTCAATCGCTGGGAATCCAAAATTTCCCTTCGAAGGCCTGGGTGTGCCACATGGGGCACCCAAAGCGATGGCAACGAAAGCACAAGGCCTACGCTTGCAGAACTGCGCTCTCAGAGCTGTTCTGACAAGCTCCTTCAAGTGAGTCAGCCCTCCAAAGAAGAAAGCGCATAGCTATTTGCAACTCCACGAAAACTCATTCATGCCACAAAGGGAGGAAGGGAGAAGAGACCTCGCTGTTTGCCAGTGCATTGCCAAGCCATTGGGTCAGGATCGGGGTCTTAAACTCAGAAAGAGGGACACATCACAGGCCTCGGGGTTTCAGGAGAAGATTTGGGCAGGAGCAGGAGGTAGCAATTTCATCCTGGCCACCCAAATTTCAGAGGGAAGATGTCCCAACATGCCTTCTAATCAGATGCGCTCGGCAGACAAACAGCAAAAATGTATAGGGATAGGAATTCGTGTGACAAAGCACAACTGTAAAAAAAATCCACTTCATCTTTTTATCTCTTACAGTATTTTACCAGGCTGGGTTTGGAAGCACATGTCTCTGCATGCATCCAAAGGAATTATCAGGATGCAGGGACTTATACATTTATTTTTGCATTTGGGGGAAAGATTTTTCCCTTGTTTTGAACTGACTGCCAGTTTGATTTAAAGTACAACCCAAAGTCTCTATCAGGGGTAGGCAACCTAAGGCCCGGGGGCCGGATGTGGCCCTCCGAGGCCTTTGGGGGGTTTGCCATGGCTTTTCTGGGGCTGAGAGAGTGTGCATGCATATTTTTTAATTTTTTTTAATTTTTAAAAAAATTATTTAAAATTTTTTATATTTGTTTGTTTGTTTGTTTGTTTGTTTGTTTGTTTTTGGTGCTTTGGCCCAATTGTCTGAGGGACAGCAACCCGGCCCCCGGCTCAAAAAGGTTGCCTACCCCTGGTCTCTATGAAGGTGGGTGAGTCGAGGAATTCCCTCTGCAAACAGAGGGAATTCTTCTCCCTTATAACCTGTCAGCCATAGTCTCTAACTGTCCTGATTTGGCAGGGACAGTTCCAATTAATTGTGTGCAATCCCACTTTTTCAGCTGCTTTAAAAATATATATATCTCAGATTCTCCCTCTTCTTTGCACTTTCCTTCTTTGTCCTCATGCTGCAAACTGAGTTCAAATTGCTAGAACAATTTGCACTCAATTGGAGAAGTGGAGAGGAAAGACGGAATCCTGCCCTTCCCAGTAGACTCAGGCAAAAGCAAACTGCTGCAGCCCCTCATAGCTTATGTGTTCTTCCTCATTTGTAACATTTGACCACTCTCTAATGGCCATCTGTGTCCTGGTTTTCAACTGTGATACGTTGGAAGGGAACAGGGAATCATTATATTCTGTTAGTTCATCCAGCCTCATGTTATCTATTCTGACAGCCCAACAGATCTCTCAGATCTCATTGCTTACCTCTTATAAAGAAATGCCAGGGATTGAATCTGGAATTTCCCATGCAAAACAGGTGCTCTACCATTGACCTACAGCCCCTCTGCCTCTTCAAATAGTGCACAGTTAAACTGGAATTCACTGCCCCAAGATGTAGTGATATCTGCCAGTTTGGATGGCTTGAAAAGGAGACTAGACAAATTAATGGAGCAGCAACAGCTATTAGCCAGGAATGCTATGTTATCACCTCCAGCATCAGTATGTCTCTGCGCAACAGATTTGAAATGCAAGATACCAGGTGCATATGGACTCATGTCCTACTGGAAGACTTATGTCCACTGTATGAAAAGATACTGGGCTACACAGTTCTTTGGATTCATCAAGTAGTAGGGAGCCTCTTCTTTTCCTAATGTGGAAACATCTCCTTTAACTGGCACCTATAATGATGACTGACGCCGTCTTCTTATTCCCATTTGTCATGTTGTTGCTATTGACTTGCCTTCAAGTCATTTCTGACCTATGGCAATCTTATCATGGGTTTGTTCTTGGCCAGATTTGTTCAAACAAGGCTTGCCATTGCCTTCCCCGGAGGCTTAGAGCATGTGACTTGCCTAAGCTCACCCTAAGTGGGAAGTCGAAGGCTTTCACGGCCAGCATCCATAGGTTTTTGTGGGTTTTTCAGCCTGTGAGGCTGTGTTCTAGAAGAATATATTCCTGACGTTTCGTCTGCATCTGTGGCTGGCATCTTCAGAGAGATCTTGCCTTGAAGTCGCCTGTTGACTTATGGTGACCCAATTCATTTCATAGGTTTTTCTTAAGCAAGAAGTACTCAGAGTTGGTTTTGCCAGTCCGTTCCTCTGAAATACAGCCTACAGCATCTGGTATTCATTGGTGGACTCCTATCCAAGTGCTAACCAGGACTAATCCTGCTTAGCTTCCAAGATCAGACAGGATCTTATGCCTTTGGGGTATTTAGGCCTGCTCTGTGCTTGTATACTGTTGGGTTAATCATGCTTTTATTATCTGCTGTCTATATAATTTATGACTTGTATTTTATAATTTTAGAGGTCTGTACGCCACACAGAGAACTTTTGTTATTGGATGGTTTAAGAGAATGAATACATTTGAAGGAGACAATGACTCTGCTTTAGTTTTTAAATATGGCATAGGACTTCTTCTCTCACATACACACACAATCAAAAGCAAGATCAAATAATATCTAAATACAGTAAAATGCCACTTTTAACATAACACAGAAGCAAAAACAACATGAAGTCCAAAAAGGTAATGCAGGATTAGTCCACATTAATTAATCCTGCAATTAATTAGACTCCATGAAAGAAAAAGCACACAGTTGATAAACTCCTGTTAGATCGCTTTAAGTCTATCTGCTCTTTTTATTCCTTGTCTTTGCAGTGCTTTTCTTATCAGCCCACATGATTGTTCCCTTGTGCTTAAAAATGCTGCCTAGTGGGCAGAGTGAAAGAGAAGGCGTGCTCAAAAGCAAAGAACTGAGATGCAGAGTTTCTCTATGGCAATAATAGAGCTAAGCAGGGTACATCCAGCAAACAATTCACCGCATGTCACTGCATTTTTGTTTAATGACATGGGAACTGACTTCAGTAAAAATCCTAATCAACCGACAGGTTATAAAAATACTTTAAACTTTAAAGCCAGTGTGGTGTGGTGGTTTGAGTGTTGGACTACAACTCTGGAGATCAGGGTTCGACTCCCTGCTTGGCCGTGGAAACCCACTGGTTGACCTTGACTGAATGGCAACTAAAATAGTGAAGGGTCTGGAAACCATGCCCTATGAGGAACGACTTGGGGAACTGGGTATGTTTAGCCTGGAGAAGAGGTGGTTAAGAGGTGGCATGATAGTTCTGTTTAAGTATTTGAAAGGGTGTCATATTGAGGAAGGAGCAACCTTGTTTTCTGCTGCTCCAGAGAATAGGACTCGGAACAATGGATGCAAGCTACAGGAAAAGAGATTCCAGCTCAACATTAGGAGGAACTTCCTGACAGTAAGGGCTGTTCAACAGTGGAAAACTCTCCCTCGGAGAGTGGTGGAGTCTCCTTCTTTGGAGGTTTTTAAACAGAAGCTGGATGGCCATCTGTCGGGTATGCTTTGATTGAGAGTTCCTGCATGGCAGAATGGGGATGGACTGGATGGCCCTTGGGGTCTCTTCCAACTCTATGATTTCATCTATGGATCACATACTCTCAGCCCCTGAAAACTCTGTGATAGTGTTCCCTTTCTAACAACTGATTTATTAAATAGAAAGACTCAGGCAGGGAAATGTATGGAAAAATCCATTTCACAACCCACAATAGGGTCACCTTTGGGTCACAATAAGTCAGAAATGTCTTGAAGGCACACAACAACAACAACAACAACAACAACAACAACAGGTACTTCAAGTGCCTTCAGCAGCAAGAGAGACTGATACATAGCTTGACAAATACCAATTCACATTTGCTTCCTTGCAGGAAAAGAAAACAGATACGTAGATGTTTGCACTGACTCCTTGGTGAGCTGAGTCATATGCAAATGTTCAGATGACAGATGAATGTCTGAACTGGCTTTAGCAACACTGAAGACTCTGGAAGTCTATGATGATTAACCTGATGGATGAAACGCATGTCTAAATCAGCACCCCTCAATTTGACCGTCAATGTTTGCTAAACAGAATCATTTTTTAGCTGCGGCATCACACTATTGACTCATGTTCAACTTGTGGTCTACTAGGACTCCTAGATCCCTTTCGCATGTAGTCTTATTAAGCCAGGTGTCCCCCATCCTATATCTATGCATTTAATTTTTTTTCTGCCTAAGAAACCATACATTCCTCCCTGCTGACATGCATTTTGTTAGTTTTAACACATATATATTAACAAACTTTAAATGTACAGGTAAGCATTTCCAAGACACTGTTTCCTCAGAGGGGCATCTAAGCTACCTTTGTCCAGACTGTGCCTCCCTCGTGCTGGTCATTTGTTTCCATTGTGACAGCTTTCAATTCAATGCAGAATGGTGAAAGTTGCATTTTAGGCAGTGACTGCAAGAAACAATTGCAAGGACTCTAGAACCTGTGGTCTCAAAAAGTAATTTTTCCAATTGTAATCCAGTAGTCGAATTACAAGCAGGATGTAGAGAGGGGTAACACATTTATACACTGCACAAATATCCGGAGGGGGGTTTGCCTTTGCCTTCTTCTGAGGTTGAGAGAGTGTAACTTGCCCAAGGCGGATTTCAAACCCTGATCTCCATAGTCATAGTCCAACGTTCAAACCACTACCCTACGCTGGCTCTCTGGAAAGCTATTTTAGCCTGCTCCAACAGAATACGGAAAACAAAACAATGGCCACAGACTGGAAATGCTCAATATACATCCTAAACCCTCTCAAGGGCCACATAAAATATTGTGGTAACCACAGGAGCATTGCATTAATCTCTCAGACAAGTAAAGTCATGCTCAAAAATTCTAAGGCAAGGAATTCTACCATACATGGTAGCCAGAAGGCATCTGTAGAGCAGAGCGGAGGGTGAGCCCTGGTGCCAAAATGATTGGGAGGGAAGGGACAGGCTAATGAGAGTCTTTTCCAGTTGTACCAACAATTAACCCTTACAACTTGTAGCAAGCTGTTACTCTTCTGCTCTTCTGCTCCTCTTGCCTGGACCACAAAACCCGCAGAATTTGCAGATGACCCACGGAAAGTGGAAATTCCTAGCTGGACCCTGAGATTTAGCAACCCCATTTGTCAGAGACATTGGAGTTCAAGAATGGGGAATGTTCCAGTCCTCTAGATGTGCTGAATTTCCACTTTCATTAGCAACTTCCATGTGATGGATTTCAATTTCCATGCACCCTCCGCACCCCCAGCAGGCTTAGAGGTGATGAAGTTGCAACGCATCAACATCTGGAGGACCCATCTCTCCTGTAATTGCTAAATATCTGCAGTGAGCAAGAGGATAAACTAGATAAAACCGCTAAAGCGTCTTCCATCTCTGCAAGTCTAGGATTATGAAACCCATCAAGAGTTTTTCACTGAACTACACATTTTGGGAAAGCTGCAAGTTACAACACTTCAAGCATTTTGGAAAGCATGGCCAAAAAAAAAAAAAATCTCTCACATCCAAGGACTTCCCGTCAGTGGAAAGTGACATGGAAACTAGCTTGCTCCCTGCTTTCAATCCACATGTGCTTTTGAACACAGTAGAGGGATAAACATTCAGATACGCAATCTGCCCTTGTATAAAATGGTACAGCTTTAAATAGGGTAGCACAATACATCTAAATGCCAGCTTGGTTCTTGGCAACAGCTGCTTGCCCTAAAGAATAAGAAACAAAGGAACTGGAAAGAATACACACACTTCAGCCACGTAATATCTAAAAATGCAGGAAACAAGTCTCTACCCTGTACAGGATAAGTGATACATCCTTTGAGTCCCAGGCCTACATGGTATAAAATAGCCTATATTTAACATGAGATAATATATGTCTGCATTATACAGCATACCGTCCAGCTGTTCTGATTTGATTAATCTTCTGTCATCCTACTTTTTCAGCTGCATTAAAAAGGTCCTTGTTTCTCTCTCCTCCTCCAATTTTCCCACTTTCTCCTCAGCTTATTTCTATTGATGCACATTGAGCTCAAAGTCTAAAACTAACTTGCGCTCGAAAGGAGAGGAAGGGGAAGAATTGTTACACGGGTTTTATTGTAAGCCACTTGGATTGTCTGTCAATAAGTGGGATATAAATAAATTTTATTATTTATTATTATTTATTATTATTATTATTATTATTATTATTATTATTATTATTATTATTATTATTATTATTATTATTATACTTCCCTGTAGATTCAAGCAAGAGCAACCTGCTGCACATCTCCTACCTTGTGCGTTCTTCCTCATTAATAATTTTTGCCATCTTGACCACACACTGATGTTTCATGGCCACAAATATGCCAGTTTTCATCTGTGAAACACTGGGGATTGTGTGCATGCAGAAAGAGATTTGGCCAAGCAAATGCCTTGCATCAAGTGTCATTTCTTTTCTTTATTTGAATCAGCAGGGGCCAATCAAAATAGAATTTAATTTCTAATCAGAAAATTCAGAAAGGCAGCAAAAATCTTTGCTTCCATTAATTAAACCTCCACTCCATTCTCTCTTGCCTCCTCAGTGGCTAGCGTTCGTATTTTTTCAGTGGATAGGCAGAGGCAGAAGTATTCATTTTTTTAAAAAAAGAAAATCCCACATGCTCTCTGGGGAATTCTTAAAGCTGTTATTCAAAAAAAGTAACTTTTCCTAACTCTAGCAATTGCCATCAGACCCAGAAGAACTGCTCTGCCAAGACACGAAGTGTGAGAAGGGCAGAAAACAGATGGCAGTTTCTGGCCACAGCAAGGAGGTTTGTGGGAGGCAGTGACTCGGAGTCCTGTAAGCCCATTTCAAATATAAATAAGCCATCAAGCAGTAACAGTATAATAAAATGATGCAATGCACAAATCATTTCCTCTCCTAGCAAACTTGGGTGGTGGAATACAGACATAACTGAGTCTTAACTATCAGTATGCAATGGTATATTGTAGCACCTTTGAGACTAACTGTATGAAATGTTGTAGCATAAGCTTTTGTAGATTTGGTCTAGTTCCTCAGATGCAACATATGGGGTGCTTCTTCATTTGAAAAGATCCAACATATTGATAGTGACAGGTATTAAACATAGCTGCTAACTAAACATTAGCAGCTATGGCTTTATAAAATTGCAAGTTAGAAGATAAAATATCTTTTCCCCCAACCAGGTTCCATATAATTAGAAGCAAAACATATGGTAATTTTATTAGGGAAATTTATTTCCTCTTAATTTAATTTGTAAATCACAAAGATTCTCTATGCCATCTGCCAAAAACATCACCTAAAATTCTGAATAAAGATGTCCACTGTCTCCTTTAATATTAAATTTGTGCTTGAAACTCTTACCATGTGCTATTATACAAAATTCCAGGATCAATGGATTTGAGCACGTCAGTTTTTAGAATTTAAAAATGATCTTCTCACAGATGATCTTTGGCTGCTCATTTCAAAGTCCCAGCAGTCAATCCCTGTTTGGATGTACTGCAATTGATTAATAATTTTGGTAAAATATCTGGGTATTAAATTAATTGGTCCAAGTTAGAACTACTGCCAGTGGGAGACAAGACTGACCAAATTCTATTATCTATTTGGGTATAATTATCCCTTGGAATTTATCTCAGATGATTAATCTTAACATAAGTAAGCTGATACAAGATAGCGTTCAAGATTAAGAGAGATGGGTGGGCTTAAAGATGAATCTGTGGGGTAAGGTAAACATGATTAAAATGAATGTTATACCTAGAATTGCTTACATTATTTGTGGAATTCCTCTACTTACTCCTTGCAAGTATTTTCAAAAACGAAATGCATTGTTTCAGAGATGTTGGAGGGCTCATTTGTTCCTAGAATTTCAATGAAAAGGATGCAAATTCCTATCAAAGAGTCAGGGTTCAGCCTTCAAGAACTTCTTACCCACCTTCAGGTATATCTGTAGTCTTGTTTGGATTTTTGATCATATCTACTTAAAGTTAAGTAATCCAGCACGGTTAGGCTTTGAGTCTTCATTTCTGGAACAGCTATTGAAACAGACAGTACTTGGGTCTCATTTTAGAAAAAAGGAGGAGTGTTTTGCCAACAATTTCAGCAGTTAGAGCTGTGTGG